TCCTTATTATCATTACTAGGATAAATTTTACTTAACATGTTGCTGTCCAAAATTAAAATAAACTAATATAGTATTTGTATAGACAATAACTAAGAAGACATATATACAAGTATGAAAAATGTGAAAGAATATATAAACACTCGTGATCCATCATTATTCCTTCACAAGTAGATAATGGTTACACTTACATTATCGTTTAAAATTTTAAAATCCTTCAAACCTTCATGAATAATGTTTTTTATTTGAGGGCAAAATTAATAGAATTAATAATAATTATTGTAGAAGTGTAAAAAATGTAAAAAAAATATACAATCACTCATAGTAACAAACTTTACAACTTTCATGTAGGGGTTAGCTTTGAAATCCAACACTATAATTCATAAACCTTAAATTTATATTTAACCGTCGATTGCCATTTACGCTTTATTATTCTTAGTGAATTTTATTTTTTGAAAACATGATCATCTGGCGGATGTAAGAAGATGAATGGTTCAGATCTTTGATAACACGTTTCGATATTTACGGTTAACTGAAATATGAGTCAATGTCATATAATTTATAGAAACTTTATAAACATCAAGCAATATTTTCACTAACCGTAAAACTCTGAATATAATATCAACGATTCAAACCGTTCATCTTCCTGCATCCTCTAATAGATCAAGTTTTCAAAAAAGAAAATCTGAAAAAATAAAATTTGATGAGAACAATGAAGCGTAAATGTAAACAACAATCAACGGTTAAATTTTGATCTATGATTTATATGATTATAGTGGCGAATTTCGAAGTTAAGCTCTTCATGAAAGTTGTAAAGCTTGTCATTACGAGCGTTTATATATATTTTCTATATTTTTTACACTTCTACATTAATTAAAAAACTATTTGTCACAGCCCATCCCGAGAAATAATTATCGTGGTTGTGAAAAAACGAATTTACCCTTGAACGTCGGGTGTGTGTTTGTATTTTGGGTTAACAAATTGAGCCAATTAGTTTTATCCCTAACTAATGGGACCCAATTAGAGCTAAAAGATTAAAGAGTTTTGATTGGTGTACATTTTGGAACCACACACACACATCCATACCCTTCTTCTCTCTTCTCTCCCGTACTCTCTCTCTCGGACTCACTCTCTCTTCCCTCTCCTCCGTACGGACAACCTTGAACCAAGCCAAATCTTCACAGATCGAGGAAGAAAATGGTACCATTGTGTTCGTGAGGACCATACGAGTTCAATGGTACCCATTTCAGGTAAGAACTCGTTCGATATCACGTTGAAAATTCAAGCTCCGAGTTAAGCACTATTCATGAACTTTTGAATGGTTATGTTTTAGGACAATCCAAGCTCACAGCGGGCTCTAGGAGGTTCTCACGAAGCTTGGAGTGCTTCGTTGGCTCGGTTTTGACGTCGGGATCACGAGGTTCGAAGGTGGCCAGTTTTGGTAGGATTCTCACGACGAGTTTTCGAGGGATTTGAAGCTCCCAAAAGGTATAACCTTCTTCCTCTTGTGATTTATGACATTCTAGTGAAAATTTTATAAAAAATGGTGTAAAAATGAGCGACAAAGAGGCAGTTGCAGGTCTGCCCAGAATCCGGCGCAGGCGACGCTGTTCCGACGTCTGGAGGTTGAAGGTGATGCGCGTGAGGCCATGTCCTCCCTGGCGCGTAAGGGCGCGTGAGCCATAGAAAAATTATTTTAAAAATTTCACGATGTTCATGAGGTTGTGTAGGTCACGCTGGTATATTCAAATACCAAAATTGAGCTTTGTATGAGAAGTTATTAGATAGTTTTGTCTATGTGCTTTAAAATGAAGTTTTTATAGTTAATTCGCATATAGGTAAGGCTTATCCCGAGGACGAGTGTATCCACAGGCGACTTGGGGGTTACGACCCATCGACATATCAGTGAGTGGGCTTTTATTTTCAGTATATATTTATATACTTGATATATTTCCCATAAATGCATTTTTAGGAAAGTATGCTTTGAAATAATTTGTCAAATGCTTTTATATTCTGAATATGCATTTCATGGTTGCGTGTATATATATATATATATATATATATATATATATGTGGTGTTGTGGAGGCACCTGTAAGTTCAGGTAAGTTATGTTTGATTATGTGAATCATCGATGATATGTGATATGTGATTGAATAATGTTGAGCTCATAAAAGTGCACCTAGGGTGATTGTGATTTAGCCAGAGATGTGAAGTACATGCCTATTTGTTTATGTCACCTCCCGCACTATATGCTCATATTGGATCCAACTTAAGTGCACAGCCTTGTCGTACATACCTTATTTATGGTTCCGACGCATATGTGACTAGCGATTTATCGCCCGGCTATTATGAGAGAATAGAATTGAGCATAATTATATTACACCCAATCTTGTTGTACATACCCCTTTTTAGTGGTTCCGACTTATGTGCAGTATATTGCCGTATAGGTCATTGTAGTGACTCCGGCTAGATTAACTTTTGAGCTATGAATTCAGCCGTACAAACTACCACAAGGGTTCCGACTATCATATCGTATTTCTATGAATTTATTCTTACCTGAATTGCTCACTCTGTGATATATTGGCATGACATATATTTGAATATGATTATGTGAAGCATGAATTGAATTGATATGATTTCATATATATATATATATATATATATATATATATATATATATATATATATATTATGTATATATGCTCATATTCTGATTCTGGGAAAAATTATACATGTTTTACAGCGAGGGGTTAAATATGTTGATAAAGAAAATGATTTTGTAAAAGATTTGTTTTTGCCCACTCACGTTTTCTGTTTTGCGCCCCTCCAGGTTTTAAGTAAGCTTGCTGTTGCTGGCTCGAGGACGTCGGTTGTTCTGACTTATCTAGATAATAGTAGGACATTCCTGGTACTGTATAACTAGTACATGTCCTACTGAACTGCACCTAGACTTTATGCTCTGATTATGAGTGTTTACTGTTGTAACTAACTCCTATCACTTTCTGTTTAGTAGTGCACTCTAGTAAATTGGTTTTTAATTATTCGTATAATTCTTATCTATATTGCTTCTGCACTATGCACATGGTTACGTCACTCTCGCGTGACGGCTAGCATGCCTTGATCTCGGTCGGGGTGTGTCACAATTAAAGACTTTTGGTAAGTGAAAATATACTTAAAAGAAAAATGTGTTTTTATGTTTTGGATGTGACAATATGGTATGTATATACTTATTTAGTATTATGTTTTTCATTTGATTATTTATTGGTTTAAAATATATTTTCCTTAATGGGTAACGGATCGGGTCATATTACCTGTTAATATTATCGGGTCGGGTCATTTTACCCATTTATTTTAATGGGTGTTACACGACACAACCCGTTAAGATATCGGGTATGACCCGAAAACGACACGAACACGAAAAACACGACACGAATGCCAAGTCTAATTTCATGCATGGATTTACTCAACACTCAACAAGCATGGAGTGTGGGCATTCTTTTGGTTTGAATGTTTTTGTTAGTCTGCATTATTTATCACATTTCATAATAGCAGCGTAATGCTAGGTAAATCAAAATTTTAAATTACATTTACAAATTATATGATGTGTTATTAATAATTAATAAGTACGTTAATCAACAAATAACAATTAAGTAATAATTAAATCATCAACAACTACGTCATAAGTTTACAAAATATGGTTTAAATAGATAGTCTCACTGCCACTTAGTACTACGGTCTAGTTGTATTTCTCTTCACTTATAATTGAGACGTCTAAGGTTCGATTTTCTCCAAAGGCGATAACTTTCGTAATGCAGCTTTCGTTTTGGTTTGTAATGCAACTTTCGTTTTGGTGACTCTAACGCTGCAGCTTGCACTAGACCAGACATATATATTGGGAATTTTTATTAGCACTCCAAAAATCTCATTCTACACTCCAAACTTTCTATATTTGGAAAGAAAAATGCACTTATGAGGAGTGTAGAGTGAGATTTTTGGAGTGCCAATAACACTTCTCTATATATTATTGTTCTTATTAGTGGGTGTAAATGATTTGTATATTAACCATTTGTAATCTGGTTGATATACAGTAAAAGGTGGGGAGAAATGCTACGGGGATTCTTTTAGAAGTATGACTTTTCTTGAATTTTCTGTCACCTCATATTTTTGGCACAATATTTATAATATTGACACGAAAATTGACGTTAAATTATGAGATGACAGAGAGTCAATGAAAAGTCCAACTTTGAGAGAGTCCCTTAGCATTTCTCATCATTAAGATGGAATCTTAATCAATTTTCTTGACATTATTATTTTTTGTTAACAAAAGAAATAGATTGGATAAACTTCAACATTAGATCAAAGCATTTTTACTGTAAGCTGAAATGTTTTTCCATAATTTACAGTGGTCTTGTTCAAAATAAAAAATGGAAAATAAATTAGGAAATGATTTTCATACACTCATTTTATCTCCTACATATTCTCGTTAATTTCTATCTCCTTGATTCTCTTTTAAGTTATTCAATTCAAAGGTGAAAACCGAAAATGGTGTGTAGGGTGAGAAAATGAGGTGTGCAAATCATTTTTCTAATATTTTTTTCTTTAATATAAAGACATATTTACAATAAGTTGGTAAGAAAATAAATTAATATCGAATTCATCATTGACAAGATATGATCATAAAATTTCACTTATAAATAAATATGAATACCACTACATTGTAGTACTAAATGACATAATTTTTCTAAATTAATTTATAGTATTCGTAGAGATGATTGTGTTCACTATCCATCAAGACCATTAATTGGTATTGTTTAACTTTTTCCTTTTGGGTTTAACCTCAATCAATTGAGTTGTTGACCAATTAAAAGCATTCTTTTATAATTGTGATGTGGGAAGGAATGGTAAGATATATAGGATATAAATAAGGGAAATTATTGTGTAGTATTGGAATATTGTTTTTGCACATAGATTAGAATCATAAATCTGTCTTCTCTCTATATAATAACAGGTGATAAGCTGATTTTACTATATAAATGCGTTTCAGTACTGTATAATAATTTTCCATGAGATGTACGCACAGTTACATATATAAAACCTTGTGTGTGTGAATGTGTGTTAGGGGTGTGGAAGAGAGAGAGAGAGAGAGAGAGAAATACACTCATAAGCATATTTTTACAAAAATATATGTCTTAGGATCGACATTCATCAACCCTTATCCATTATAATACCTACGTAGTACGTACCAATAAAATTACCTTCTCCCATGCTTTATCCCTCTTGCTTCTTTAGTTTTCAAATATGCATATCCCAATATCACAGTCAGTGGTCGAATTTAGGAACCCATTTAACTTGTTTCCCAGTTGATCATCTTCATCCCTAGCACTACTACTCTGCAACAACAACAATGCCATATCTGATTCATCATTTGCACCAAAGCTTGCCCCTCCATCACCTTCATACCTCTCCTCTTGACTCAACTGTGAAGCCACAAACTTGTCCAGAGCCCTCCAGTCAGTAACCTTCTTGGCATCGTTGCATCCTCGAATACTTTGCTGGTCTTCTATTTCGATGTTATTCTCCGATATAAGAGACGTTGAGCTCGGCCGCTTTATTAAGGGAAGAGACGGGCTCTCAAGCTGAGGAAGCTGGACAAACGGATCAGAGTGCAGGAAGTTCAAACTGTCAGCTTCTGTCTCTTGCTTGCACATGAAATTCTGGCTTAAAAAGCTCTGGGGCTGCCTCGAGATCATATAATTGGTTGGATCAGCGACGGAAGTGAGACCGTTGAGTTCTTCATAGAAGTAGCTTGAGTCCCACCCTTCGATGCTTTTGTTTTGACTACTGGTTCTCTTCTTGAATGCTCTGCATACGACCCATCCTTCTTCCTGCAAAAACTTAACCAAGGTACTTATCTGTAAGTGGAAGGAGACAGAAATAATTAATTAATCTATTTCGATTATTTTAATTCTTAATCATTTTGTTGGTGGAAACTGGAAAGAGGTTGAGAGGGTCAATGTTCCTTTAGGAGAAAAGTGAAATTTTTCCCTTTCTACCTTTACATTTACATGCATTTTCTTTAATTAGCTTTTGGCGTTTTCTTTCTGTTTGGTAGAGAGAGGTAGTAAGTTGATGTCAATCTAAAGGTAATGGCCATGCAATGGAACTTTGCTTTTTGGCGAACTGAAAGCCACAGTTAGAAGATGAACTGGCACAAAGCAAATTAATATATACACGCTTTTGAAGGCTTTAACTTTTGACTTTGATGTGGTGTTGGTGGAAGTGAATGTGCATACATTAGTGGTCTACGAGTTACGCATGCAAATTAAGTGAGATTGTTCTACTATTCCATTTAGAAAAACTGTTAGTTTCTGCTTTTTTAATATTGCACTTGTTTCTCCTTAAATTTCTGTACAAAAGAGCATTTATCTTAATATTGAAGGTCAACAATTCAAACCACTTAGTAAAGTGATGACTAGAAGTAGGCTAGATATTTTGAATGCAAAACTCCAAAAAAAAAAAAAAAAAAAAAAAAAAAAAACAAAAGGGTCAACAGATTGAACATCAATCCTTCCTCCATTGACCTTTGTAACACAAAAGGGGAATAAAAGTAAATTTGTAAAATAATTTATAGGTGTACGTTAGCTGGAAAAACTAGTAAAAACGTTAATTAGGTCTCATATCAAGAAGTCATGGGAGGCTCCTATTATTATATCTTCCACGATCGAGCATGGAGAGAGAAAGTGTTGTTATTGACACTTTTGTCTATAAAGTGATGGTAACAGATAATCAACCAACGTATTAGCTAGGTCAAAGTGCTGTTCAAATTCCTTGACATGTTGACCTTGAATACAGCTTCAAGGTTTAGGTTTTACTCTATGTGTGTGTGTGTGTGTGTGTGTGGAGAGAGATGATGATGATGATGAGTTTTGATCACTTGCCTGCGGAGGTCCATTTTCATCGGATTCGAGTCTGTATTCGTGCATGATCCAATCGCTCTTCTGTCCATTTGGAGCCCTTCCTTTGTAGAAGACAAGGGTTTTCCTCATCCCGATCAGTTTTGCCTTATCGTATACTGATTTGTCTCGACCCGTTGCTTTCCAAAACCCAGCCATGGTTGCTCTGTTGGTCCTTGTCCCAGTTGGATACTTCTTGTCTTTGTGGCTGAAGAAGTACCACTCGTTCTGCTCTTCATATCCGATTCGACATCTCTCTGTCCATTAATGCCAATAAGACCATCAAGATCCATTTTATGTAAAATAAACGTTGATTAATTAGAAATGTAATGCATCAAGTATTGTGGATTAGTATGTATTCGAACCAACCATCAATCCCCAAAATAGCACACAAGGTTAGAGCTAGTATAAGGTTATATATACATAGAAAAAAATTAAGAAACATCCACTTGATGAGAACCAAAAACCCTAATTAGCATGATCCGGAAAATGATCAAGGTATGAAACCCTAACAGTACATGTACTATTAGAGTATGCGTGTAGTACCTTGAAGATCCCATGGTTCGATTCTGTAGAGATCAATGTCTCTGATGACATCAAGATCGATCTTCTGGGAGGCAACTTTCTTTCTAAGATAGTACCCGACGAGCTCTTCATCGGTCGGATGAAAGCGGAAACCGGGTGGGACAGTAGACTCGATTGACTCCATCATAGCGCAGCTGGTAGTTTGTAATGCTTACTACTGCATCAAATTCATCACCACTGCCATTAGTAACCACCACCACACCAACTTAACCAATGGGAACTTATAAGTAGAGCTAGCTAGCTAGACAAAATGAACACTGGGAAGAAAAGGTAAAAAAAGTGCCAACATATAGCGTTAATTTGTTAAAAGGTAGGAAAGGAAAATAAAAATTGTAAATAAGAGGAACAATGTGGATTCTATGAATAGAAAAGGTGATAAGTATTATCAGAGACCATCATCAGCTCATTTGGTGGTCAGCAACCCCCACCATTTCTGGTTTGATCAGGGAATTATAATTATACGCGTGTTACAAACAAATTATTAAAAAAAACCTTAATTAGTTAATTAATTACCACAGAAACTGATGATCAGAGATTCAGAGACGATAAATTACTTTATTATTTTCCCTAGGTAAAAAGGAATCATAGAAAAGGAAATCATGAGAGTTTGGTTTTGATTAAAAAACCAAGAGGAAGTTGGAGCTTGTTAATTTTTGTGCAGAGGGGAAAGGGGGCCTCTCAAGAACGGACAAGTAGAGGTTTGTGCTAATGATGTTGTCTTGTGTTGGTGAATGGTAGAAATGATGCATCAGAACGGGGTTTTGTAGTATAATAACACTATTAATTTAATAATCAACTTTTGTAGACCCAAATATATATAAACATACCCTATATATCAAAACATTTTTTTTTTTTTTTTTGTGTGTAAGTTGAGGTGTCGCTAAAGGTAAGGAAAGAAATTAACAAAAAATTAACTAAGCTATAGTGTATGATATGCATCGAATAAATGAAACGGTGACTATGCAACCAAAGATTCGATGTTAAGACTCTATAATCACGGATATTAGCATATTGTATACATCGATGCATACTAAAAAATCTCAAAAATTAAGAAAACATTTGAATTTGGGAATTGCAAAAACGGAAAGGGAGGATGACGTGATCCCAGTTAAGCATGCGTTTCTCGAAAGGGAAAAGGGTTTGAAGCAAAAAGATGGAGGACGATCAAGCCTGCTAAGAGAGAAAAGGATAAGAAAAAGAGAAAAAGAGAGAGACCACTCTCTGGTCTGAGTCTCTGAGTGTGAGACTGAGAGAGCTAGCTCATACTACAGAAACGGGGGAGTCTGACCCTCTTGTCTGTTTGTCGAGAATTTTCCTGGCAAATATCTGACCCCTTTTTCTTTGATAGACTAGTACTCAGCAAAAATGCTGCTGATCCATACCATACATACACAAGAAGAACAAATTAATTAAGACCATGCATGCATTTAAACAATCATTAGTGTTCTCTAGCTAATTAAACTCCATCACGATGAGCTTAATCCATGTGTTTAATTAGCTAATCCTAACCTTAAACTCCAGGTCTGTATCTTCCTCTTCTTTTCCTCTCTTGCTTAGACTCTACAAGTTCTTACCAAATAGATAGATCATAAGTAAAATGCCACTTGATGGCCTCTTTTAGGCACAAAGCTAGTGCTTCAAATAGCTAGGTCAAGAAATCAATAGATCAGAATCATTTAATTTTTCATGATGAGAAATGATTCAGTTCTTCTCATCGGGTATGTGTAGAGACTAAGTCTTGACCTAACAACCAGTATAATAGGTGTCGGGCGGAGGACTTGTTGCTCGAGTGGTGGAGATCGTATTTATCCCTAAATCCAAGATAAGACATTGGATTCACCTTCTTGAGATCGAATCCCTCTTCCTCTTTGGCCTCTGGAGTTCTTAACAAAAAAGAAAAGAAGAAGAGAATGAAAGATAAGTTTGTGAAAGGATCAAGAAAAAACCCTAGCTATACATATAGCTGCTGGGGATTGGATCTTATATACATATATTTTTGTTTAGAAATTGGGATCAATGCATTTGAATAGATTGATGGATGAGAGGGAGAGACAGGCCTTGTGCTGATCAGCTCCACCGTCTTAATTACCAAGAACAAACAGAGAAGAAGATCATATATATTCCTAAAAGTTGATTTAACTTGTTGAGAATGACTAATGAGACGCTGGCTATACGCGTTTTTGTATATGTTTAAGGAATTTTCCATGCAAACACAGACTAATTTAATTAAATAATCAATTAAACTTACCTGATCAACTTTTGTTGTTGGTGTAATTACTCGTTAAAAGACAGAAAGCAATGAAGAAGAAGAAGACAAATTCAAGTAGAAGTAGTAGAACTCCGTAGAACAACAGCAGAAAATAAATAAAATTTGAGAGAGAGAGAGAGAGAGAGAGAGTGTGTGTGTGTGTGTTTTGAGAGAAATTTCGTTAGGAGGGGAGAGATGGAGACAATATAAAAGGGAAGGGGAGGGAGGGGAAGGACCGCTCGATTGCGCATGGGTTGATGGTTGTCCCCAGTACCTGACGTCAGTCGCCCTAGCTTCCTACAGAAACTGCCTTTTTCTTCTTTACTTTCTTTCCGTCCATATTCTCCTCTCACCATATTTAATTAATTTACAAGCTAGCTTAGTTTCTTTCCAAAGTTTACAAAAGGCAACTTTCCTTTGTTGAATTCTTAAATATTTTCTTGAACAGTTAAAAAAGAATACAAAAAGATCAACAAGAAACCTCAACTTTTTTGGTATTAAAACAAGTTGTTTCACTTGTGAAGTTTGATAGCCACATGTATCCCACATTACTCCATTTGTAATATCCACTTATTGAACTTGAAAATTGTCACATATAATGAAGCGTATTAAAAATAAATCTCACATTATGAGAGAATGGACTTTGCATGGACTAATTCCAAATACAAATCATAATGTTCCTTAACTATGACTTTAGAAAATTGCTAAACTAGTTACAAGACTGGTTGTAATAGTGTGCCATTCCAATATTTATAGCAAATATGTGGCTGTGTTGTAAATGATGGGTATGTTTGCCCACATGTGTATAGTAATGTGCATAGTAAAGTATCACATGTGTACTATATACTCATAAGCTAAATAGTAATGTTTTGTAATTTTCCATTGAAGTAGCTCTATAAATAGAGCAATTCAATTGTGCAAAGATTAGTGAATGAGAAGAAGAAAGAAAAGAGAAATATATCTAATAGCAATAATATACATTACTTCCTCTGCAACAGCTTGTGTCGGTATATTACTCTGCAACTGCTTCGTTCCTTCACCGAGTAAAGGTTATCTCTCTATAAATTTTGCCTATTTATAACACGTTATCAGCACGACTCTCTAATCTTTTTCTCATTTCCTTTCACCGAAAGAAAAAAAAAAAATGTTTCCTCTAAGGTTTTTTCTGTTCTTCTTCTTCCTCTCCCTCAATTGCTGGGTATACCCTCGCGAAGAACTGTTTGCACCATGTTTACTTCTAGTTCTCCAACTAACTGTCACTTATATCTTTGATTTCTTTGTTTGGTGTAGATATTGACTACTAACCCACTGATTATTTATGCAATCCAAGATTGTGCGGTTCTATCGCCTATCTTGGACTGCAGATCTAATTTTACTGCAAATTATAAGTGGAGCGGTATAATCGCCCGCTCTATCCTGCATATTTAAATTTTCCCCGTTATTTAATTTTATCGCAATTTTAGGTGTGTGTGAAATAATCACCCACCCTGCTTTACATCTTTAATTTTATCGCAATTTTAGGTGGTGTGAAATAATCACCCACTCTGCTTTACATATTTAATTTTATCGCAATTTTAGGTGGTGTGAAATAATCACCCATCCTGCTTTGCATATTTAATTTTATTGCAATTTTAGGTGGTGCGGTATAATCGTCCATCCTGCTTTGCATATTTAATTTTATTGCAATTTTAGGTGGTGCGGTATAATCGTCCACCCTGCTTTGCATATTTAATTTTATTGCAATTTTAGGTGGTGCGGTATAATCGTCCACCCTGCTTTGCATATTTAAATTTTATCGCAATTTTAGGTGGTGCGGTATAATCGTCCACCTTGCTCTACATATTTTAAATTTTCCTGCTGTTTAAAGTAGTGCGGGATAATCACCCATCCTATACTTATTTCGATGAGAATGGTGCGGTACAATTGCCCTTCTCATTAATTGTGTAAATCTCGAGCCTGAAGTTTCGAGTACTTATCATTTTTGGCCTGAAGATCAAAAAAAAAAAAAAATTTGTAAGAACCAGAAGTTCTAACAATATATTTCTCCAGTACACATATTACTGCAAGTTCTTACACACCTCATTTTTCTTTCAGAAAAGAAAATGGCAAACTTGGCAAAGCTTGATTTTGCTGCCCTGGACATTACTGGAAAGAATTACCTTACATGGGTACTGGATACCAAGATCCATCTGGAAGCAGCAAATCTTGGAGAGATACCATCAAGGAAGAAAGCAGTTCATCCTCTCAAGATCGAGCAAAGGCCATGATTTTTATTCGTCGCCATCTTGATGAGGCACTAAAGAGCGAGTACTTAACGGTTGAAGATCCGTTAGCCCTTTGGAATGCCTTGAGAAGCAGATACAATCACCAGACAACGGTGATTCTTCCAAAAGCTCGCTATGACTGGACTCACCTAAGGATCCAGGATTTCAAATCAGTGGCTGAGTACAATTCGGCGTTGTTCAGAATTACCTCTCAGATGAAACTCTGTGGGGATACTATCACTGAGGAGATGTTATTGGAAAAGACTTTCAGCACATTCCACGCCTCTAACATGGTACTGCAACAACAGTATAGAGCGCGAGGCTTCACTGAATACAACCAGCTGATATCTGTGCTCTTGGTGGCTGAACAGAACAATGAGCTTCTCATGAAAAACCATAATTCCCGACCTACTGGATCAGCACCGTTCCCAGAAGTGAATGTTGCGTCCCTTGAAAGAAATACCATATCCTCCCGTGGCAATAATTACAAACGAGGACGTGGTCACAAGCAAGGTCGGTGGAAAGGAAAAAGCAAGAACCATGGTGTCCAGTTTCACAACCAGGTTCCAAGGTATAATCCAGGCCCGAGCTTTAAAAATACCAATCGCCAGAAAGGAAAAGCTCATGTGAACACTCCTAGAAATCATGAAGGAGGTTGCCATAGGTGTGGTGGCAACGGACATTGGGCGCGTACTTGTCGCACCCCAAAGCATCTGGTGGAACTATATCAAGCCTCCTTCAAGGAGAAGGGTGTCGAGATCAATTTCCTTGACCAGGCTAAACCAATGGAAACCCCTGATCCAGTGACCAATTTATCAGGACAGTTAAACACAACCCACCTGGATGCTACAGACTTTATTAATGAAAGAGGGAATGAAGTTTATGGGTCCGATTGAATTATTTATGTTTAATGTACTCATGTTATTTGTACCTGTGGTTTAATGCTCGCATTTTCAATTCAATAAAAGTAGTATTCCAGTATGAATAAATTGCTTTTTCTTTACTCAGAGATCATGGATAAAAATTATGGTTATTCTCAAAACAAGATCAATGGCGGAGACTTTTGTCTTGCAGATAGCGCAACCACGCATTCAATACTTCGAGACCGAAAGTATTTCTCGAATTTGGTACTTGCAAAAGTAAAGGTAACAACAATATCAGGACCATCAGATGTAATTGAAGGCTCAGGAAAAGCCCAGATTATGTTACCAAATGGAACAATATTGTCTATAAAGAATGCATTATATGCTACTCGGTCCATTCGAAATTTGTTGAGTTTTAAAAGACATACGTTTAAATGGATACCACCTTGAAACGAAAAGTGTAGAAAATGTGGAATATTTATGCATTACCTCCAACGATACCCAGAAGCGTATATTGGAGAAGTTGCATGGTTTATCGAGTGGATTGTATTGTACATACATAAAGACAGTTGAGGCATATACTGTCATGAACCAGAAGTTCATTGATTCAAAGGTTTACATGCTTTGGCATGACCGTCTAGGTCATCCAGGATCCACCATGATGCGTAGAATCATTACCAACTCTAATGGACATCCATTACTGAGCAGACACATTAATGTCCCGAATGATAATCCTTGCAAGGCTTGTTCCCAAGGGAAGTTGGTAATTAGACCATCACAACTAAAGGTTGATGATGAATCCCCATCATTTTTTGCAAAGAATTCAAGGGGATATTTTGTGGACCTATTCAACCACCTTGTGGACCATTTTCGATATTTTTATGGTTTTGGTTGATGCATCTACCCGATGGTCACATGTTTGCCTATTGTCTACTCGAAATGTAGCTTTTGCGAGACTTCTTGCTCAGATAATTAAGTTTGCGAGCACAGTTCCCAGATCATCCCATTAAGTCCATTCGACTTGATAACGCTGGTGAATTTACGTCTCAAACCTTTGATGATTACTGTATGGCACTGGGCATTAATGTTGAACACCCTGTTCCTCATGTCCATACTCAAAATGGTTTAGCAGAGGCATTTATCAAGCGGCTTCAATTAATAGCCCGCACTCTGCTCATGAAAACGAAATTGCCAGTTTCTACATGGGGACATGCCATATTACATGCTGCATCATTGGTTAGATTGAGACCCATAGCCAACCACCAATACTCATCAATACAACTCGTGTTTGGACATCAGCCAAATATTTCACATTTACGAGTTTTTGGTTGTGCTGCTTATGTGCCTATTGCACCACCACAACGAACTAAAATGGGACCTCAGCGCAGATTGGGAATTTATGTGGGTTTTGATTCACCATCTATCATTAGATATTTGGAACCTTTGACTGGTGATGTGTGTTTACAGCTCGTTTTGCTGATTGTCATTTTGATGAGACAATTTTCCCGTCGTTAGGGGGAGAAAAGACCGTTCCAGAAGAACGACAAGACAAGAGCTAACATGGGTTGTTCCCACCTTATCTCATTTTGATCCAAGAAGCACTCAATGTGAAAACGAAGTGAAAAGAATCGTTCATCTTCAAGGTATTGCTAATCAAATGCCAGATGCATTTAATGATGCTTCGAAAGTGACACAGTCATATTATACCGGCTGCAAACGCACCTGCAAGAATTGATGTCCCTGTTGGACAAAATAAAGTGGCAGCGAATGATTCATCCAGTGCACGCCTGAAAGCGTGGT